GAGAGTGAAGGGCAACAACAATTGGCTCTAGGATGCGATTGTGATTGACCGGCGGCGGCGGTGATGGACGACTGCGATGCCGAGCCTCCACCATCGTTCGATGGTCAGCTCGATGGCCTAGCGGCGATTCTCAACCGCCGCCGTCGCTGCCGCATTCGCTGCCTTTGCCTTTGCCTTTGCCGTCGCTATCAAAACAATCGAATTCTGCTGCAGCTGCAGTAGAAGTTCTTTCTCCTCCCTCCTCTCCTGCAGCGAGAGCGAGTCATCGACCTTATCACCACCGCCACCACCACCACCTAACCGTCACTGATCTTCTGTAATCACCCCCTCTTCTCTCCTCTGCTCCTGCTCTGCTACACACACCGGTTATCACCACCAGCAGCACCGTCATCGGTAAAGGCAGCTGCCTGTCAGCCAACCAGCGCCGTCGGGCCACTTTGCTGCCGCGTTTGAATTTTTTTTCTATTTTCCATCTCACCACTCTCTCTCACTCACTCTCGTCTCTGATCAGCCGTTGGTGACGCATGCTCGCTGATGACAGTCTCTTCTCTCCTCCACCTTTGCAGTTCTCTTTCTCTTTCTCTTTCTGTGCTGTGCTGTGCTGTGCCTCCTTGCTCGCTTGTTTTCATTCGAGAGCTGACCACCACAAGAAAGTAAGTCGACGACGAGGCAAAGGAACGACGGCGACCGACGCAGCAGCCTCCTCCACTGACTTGTTCTACTTCAACTTCAACTTATTTTGACCTCATCTTTTTGGTTCCTCACCACCCCTTCAAACCGCTAAACCTCGAGAATTTCATCATCACCACCACCGCCGCCGCCCACTCAGAGAGGAGGAGGAGGAGAAGGAGGAGTACTACTCGATTCTCAGCAGACTGATCCCCAGCAGACTTCCCAGCACAAACACAAACACACCCATCAAATGAACAAAGATTTCGAACTGCGACTCTGTCGCACGGTNAAACCGCTAAACCTCGAGAATTTCATCATCACCACCGCCGCCGCCGCCGCCCACTCAGAGAGGAGGAAGAGGAGGAGGAGGAGAAGTACTCGATTCTCAGCAGACTGATCCCCAGCAGACTTCCCAGCACAAGCACACCCATCAAATGAACAAAGATTTCGAACTGCGACTCTGTCGCACGGTGGGCGGCAGCCCAGCCAGCACCAGCAGCAGCGCCACTAGTCTCCACAACAACAGCGCCTTCCTCTCGCCCATCGAGGTGACCTCGTCGATGTTGACCTCGCCAGCGAAGCGCTCCTACGCCTCCATCGGCGGCGGGAGCTCCTCGTCGTCCTCTTCACCCTACAGCTCGGTAAGTTTGCCTGTTTTTTATCTTGTTTGTTTCTATTTTCTAATTCCTCACCACCACCATTTCCATTTCTACTTCTAGCCCGTGAAGACCTCTCCGTACAGGCAACTGCCCGAGTACAGCGATCGCTACATACCGATTCGAGAACCTAATCAGTGGGACGTGCGCTTCAATATGATCAAGGTAAGATAGTGGTTAGAATGACGAAGGATCTTTTAGAAACTAAAACCTTCTCTTTCACTGATTCACCAGGACACCACCAAATCGCTGACGATCAAGAAGACCAAGGAGGCCAACACTGACGTCTACAAGAACGGCCTCGCCTACCAGTGTCTACTGAAGAATGAGCTGCTCGGCGCGGAGATTGAGGACATCAACGAGTACCGGCAGTCGGACGAGCGGAAGGCCTTCACGCCGCTGGTCAACCGAAATGTGTTCAGGGTAAGTTCAATCGAAAATTAGATTATCATCCTATCTAATCACTCTCTTCAGTACCGAACGAGGGAAGTGCACAGCGAGCCGACCAGCCCCTACTCGCTCTGCCCCATCAGCCAGAAGAGTCAGAAGATGCTGCGGTCGCCGCGGAAGACGGCGCGGAAGATCAGCAAGATTCCCTTCAAGGTGCTGGACGCGCCGGAGCTCCAGGACGACTTCTACCTCAACCTGGTGGACTGGTCCAGCACGAACATCCTCAGCGTCGGGCTGGGCACCTGCGTCTACCTGTGGAGCGCCTGCACCTCGCAGGTGACGCGCCTGTGCGAGTTCACCAACCACTCCAATCCGGTCACCTCGGTCGCCTGGTCGGAGAGGGCGAGAGGGGTAAGTTTTTTATTATTAAGTTTAGCTCTTTGAAATCTAAACTAAATCATATGCTTCTTCAAACACAGGGCAATCACGTCGCCGTGGGCACCCACCGGGGCTTTGTGCAAATCTGGGACGTGGCGGTGAACAAGATGGTGAAGGTGCTGGAGGGCCACAACGCGCGCATCGGCACTCTGGCCTGGAACGGCGACATTCTCAGCAGCGGCTCCCGCGACCGCTTCATCTTCCAGCGGGACATTCGCACGCCCTCCCTCATCCCCGAGCGGAAGCTGGCCGGCCACCGGCAGGAGGTGTGCGGCCTGAAGTGGTCGCCGGACAACCAGCACCTCGCGTCCGGGGGCAACGACAACCGCATCTTCATCTGGAACCTCAACAGCAGCACACCGCTGCAGACGTACACGGAGCACCTGGCGGCGGTGAAGGCGATCGCCTGGTCGCCCCATCACCACGGCCTGCTGGCCAGCGGCGGCGGGACGGCCGACCGGTGCATCCGCTTCTGGAACACCCTCACCGGACAGCCGATGCAGTGCGTCGACACCGGCTCGCAGGTGTGCAACCTGGCGTGGTCGAAGCACGCCGCCGAGCTGGTGAGCACGCACGGCTACTCGCAGAATCAGATTCTCGTGTGGAAGTACCCCAGTCTGGTGCAGGTGGCCAAGCTGACCGGCCACTCCTACCGAGTGCTCTACCTGGTAAGTGGACTTTGTGTTTGAGTTTGAGGGTTAGGGTTTTGTGGCTAATTTTAACCCCTTACCTTCTTCTTTTTCCCCACCACCACCA